CAGAATCTGGAGCAGTTGTCAATAGCAACCAATCAGCTTCTCTCTTCAGTCTGTTCAGTTAAGGTTTTAAAATAAAAAAGAGAAGCTGATTGGCTGCCATGCACAGCTGCTCCGGAATCTGTCTGCTCCAGTTTTGATAACTTCCCTTTACTGTATTTGTCTAAACAGTAGCACAGAAGCCAAATGATACATTTCATTATATCCAGTGCCAGACAAGGGCTGAGTTGGTTTATACAAGTTTGGGTGCAGTAAATTATGCAAAAGGCAGAAATTATCAGGAAAGTATAGTGAAGTATATGTATGAAATGGCATTCTGAGGAACAGGAGGTAGGAGCATCTGTTTCTAAACTTCCCTCATATGTACATTGTGTAAGTGAGTATTTTACACCTGCCTTATCTGCTCTGTAAAAAAGAGTGAAACATTACTGAAAGGAGGATGAGAATTTGCAGCCTTGCTACTATTAATTTCATAAAATATAATCTGACACATCAAAAGTGTTATATCTGTAAAAAATAAATCAAGGCAACTGGATTTGCAGCATTTTTCTTGAAGATGTTTTTCTGGTCATCCAACCAGCTTTCTCAATTCTGAATGACTTGCACAAAAATTATCTGGAATAGATATAGTGAATGTTGCTCCAATCCACATAATCTGTTAAACATAACCAGCATGGGGTCAGAGACCTCATGGAGGTAAGGTGTTGAGGTTAAGGTGTTTTCTCAGGGTGGTGTACATGGGCATTTGTTTGCAGCAGAACTGCTTTTCTCCACATGCAAGTCAATTGGAATGGAAAAAGCATACCTCCTGACTTTCTGAAATGAGAAAGAGAAACACCTTCCATCACAATGTGTTTAGTTAATGGACACACCACGGCTATGTCCCCAGTTATGCCGACCATTAAAAATGATACGTCAAAAATGATTGGAAAGACCCAGAATTGTTTTTTTTTCACCATTACTTTTCCTTTACATTGGCTTTTTGTCAAACAGAAAACAAGATAAATATCAGATATCTCATCTCGAAAGGTTTTAGAGCAGAATAACACTTTTGGTAGTTAAATTACATAGATATGTACTTCGGAACAAATTTAGGGACAACTGAGGAGGTAGGAGAAACAGAGGGATTTGGTTGTAATGAGGGTTAAAAGAAAGCTCAAAACATTTCAGGAGGACAGTAGTAGCTTAGGGGGAGGAGGCCAGAAATATCTCAATGGCAAAGTGAATAATGTACCCGAAATGATCTAAACAAGCCCTTAGCATGCAATCTACAGGCACACTTTCTTAAAAGCATGATGTCATTTGCACTGTGAAAATGCTTTAACAGCTGGCACAATATTAGACCTGATAGTAGATGAGGGCATGCGGTCATCATAAGAAAAGCCAAATGAGTGTTACTCCACTGGTGTTAATCCACTAGTAATTAATTCATGTTTCAAGCTGCTGGGTGATACGTCCATTCTACACATATATCCAGGGACGTGCGGTCAGGTGAGGCAGAGCCTCACATTGTATTATGGAGGAAAAATATGTCAGCTTTGAGTCTGAAGCTGACGGCTTTTTCTCCATTCAGATCAGATTGGTCCAAGCTGTCAAATCAAAAAAAGAAAAAAAAAACCACTGAGGCCATCGATCTTGATGCCTCAGCAGTGATGACCAAATGAGGGACAGGGAGCCTCCTCCCTGTCTCCTCTCTCCTTCACACTAGCTTGGGGACCCGGGTTGGAGGCAGAGTTTCGGCAGATGGGTTGGAGCTTTGGAGGGCCGGGGGTGGGGCGGGATGTGCTGGGGGCGAGGCTGGGGAATGCCTCACCTGGAACCAACGGTACCGCACGTCACTGCTTTCATCACAAAAATACATATTTAGAAATCCAAGTGCTCAGGTTTCAATCTGAAGAAAGAAAGAACGTGGTTCTTCACCAAATACACATCTCTTAACGTAAGAAATGCCTCTCACAGAGTGTAGATGACTCGCATATCAATGAAAGGTTTCAGTATGCTTTTAAATCAACAGTACCAATACTTTGGATTCCCTACGGGAGATTGTTTCAGCGTGTCCATCATGAAACTGCTTCTATTGTTTTCTGTGTAATCTTAACAATCGGGGTGCATAGTTCATTGGCGGTCAGTAATCACAGATGCTATGATTTCACGTTTTCTTTCACTACCAGAGGAACTGGCTAAGATGTGACTGAACATTATTTTACTTACAGAGTTACTCACAATGAAAATCCAATTTCATATCCGAAAGGACAATTCTGCATTCATTTGTGGATTTGCTAGGTAGACATTTCACGCAACCCACAGGTGTCGTGGAATAAGAGATCGGTGCACTGGTGGCATTTGAGGACAGAGAATATTTATGGAAATGTTCAAAATGCCTTCATTATCCATGTGATTTGCATCTGTTTAGCCTCTGAGATAAACTTTTCTCAATCAAGCAGAAGAAAAAAAGAGGTTCTTGTCGGTGAATTAAAGTGACATTAAACCCTCAGATTGTTTAACATAAAACATTAGTGTAATGTGTGCCTTGCTGTAATCTATGGTTGTTTCCCTTCTCTTTGCTGCTCTTCCTTTTAAATCTGTATCTGTTCTCATGCTGGGCAGAACTTCTGTTTTGCAGCAGACTGCCTTGTCTCAGGAATGGATACACGGTGTCTGTCTATACGTTTGTATTGGCTTGTAACCTGAGCCAGCACTACAGGAAGAGGCCCTGAGCTGAAAAGGGAAGTTCTGCTCAGCATGAGAAGACATGATGATTTAAAAGGAAGAGCAGCAAAGAGAAGGGAAACAAAAATGGATTACAGTAAGGCACACATTACAGTATTGGTTTATGTTAAAAAATCTGGGGGTTTAATGTCACTTTAATGATGCAAGTTCCAGGTTCCCTGGAGTTCTGACATGGCTGCCAGTTTTTCCTAATTAGGGTAACATACCAAAACTGGCTGGCTTGCTCATAACATCTCTTCTTCTGTATACACATTTTGTTTGACATGTGAATGACAACAATTTTTGCAGTATTTGGCTTTCTTTCTTGGTAGCAGACAGCTTAACTTGAACAAGGAGACTTTCCTTGCTGATCTCTCCTTCTGAAAATGCTAAACTTCTTGCTTTGAGCTATTGACCAATAGTAAGTATGTAGCAGTGACGTGCCGTGCCTTGTGTGCTGGGTGAGGCATACCCCATCCAGTCGAAAACCCACTCCCAGCTCGGTAACCAAGCTGTGTGAGGAGGAGCAGGAAGGGAGGAAGGAGACAGGGAGAAGCCTCCCTGTCCCTTACTTGTTTGACTGCCGACACTGGTCCTCCAAGCGTGCCGTGCTGGCCGTGGACACTTAAATATTTCCCCTTGCGGGTCAAGCCAACCGTGGAACACTTTAACATTTCACCTCGCGTGACCAGCTGGCCGGCCACACTTCACCTTGCTCATAAAGCTAACCGGGGACACTTATATACTTCCCCTTATGCGTCAGCTGACTGGGGACACTTGAATCCTTCCCCTCGCATGACGAGCTGGCCGGCGACACTTAAGCCCAGTAGGCGATCCACGCCCCTGCTGGACCTCTTCAGCTGGACTTCTTCACCGTCGTCGGCCATCCCTCCGGCGCTCTCCGCTCCCCCCCTTTCCTCCCGCGTGACGAGCTGGCCGGCGAAACTTAAGCCTGGTAGGTGATCCACGCCCCTGCTGGACTTCTTCACCGTCGTCGGCCGTCCCTCCGGCGCTCTCCACTCCCCCCCTTTCCTCCCGCGTGACAAGCTGGCTGGTGACACTTAAGCCCGGTAGGCGATCCACGCTCCTGTTGGACCTCCCCAGCTGGACTTCTTCACTGTCGTCGGCCGTCCCTCCGGCGCTCTCCGCTCCCCCCTTTCCTCCTGTGTGATGAGCTGGCCGGGGGATGCTCGAGAGGTCGGGGGGGACAGGGGACGATCGCCCATCCGCCGGCGCTTTCCCCCCCTGGGGGAAACGAATGCTTGGCTCAAGGGATGACTTTCAATAGATCACAGCGAGGTAGCTGCTCTGCTATGTACGAAACCCTGACCCATAATCAGGTCGTCTAAGAATGATTTAGCACCAGGTTCCCAACGAACATGCGATGCGCTCCGGGAGAGAGGCGGCCCGCTTCCGTCCACAATCCATTCCCGAGGCGAGCGGCTCTGCGCGCCGCCCCCGGGGAGGGGGTGAGGACCGGCTATCCCAGGCCAGCCTGGGCTCCGCGGCACTGCGGTATCATCGCCTTTAGGGGGGATTCTGACTTGGAGGCATTCAGTCATAATCCCACAGAGGGTAGCTTCGCCCCATTGGCTCCTCAGCCAAGCACATACACCAAATGTCTGAACCTGCGGTTCCTATGATCCTTCCGCAGGTTCACCTACGGAAACCTTGTTACGACGTTTACTTCCTCTAGATAGTCAAGATTGATTGTCTTCGCGGCGCTCCACCAGGGCCGTCTCGACCCTGGCGGGGCCGATCCGAGGACCTCACTGAACCATCCATTCGGTAGTAGCGACGGGCAGTGTGTACAAAGGGCAGGGACTTAATCAACGAGCTTATGACCCGTACTTACTGGGAATTCCTCGTTCATGGGAAATAATTGCAATCCCCGATCCCTATCACGAACGGGGTTCAGCGTGTTACCCGCACCTGTTGGCAAAGGGTAGCCACACGCTGGTCCGTTCAGTGTAGCGCGTGTGCAGCCCTAGACATCTAAGGGCATCACAGACCTGTTATTGCTTGATCTTGTGTGGCTGAACACCACTTGTCCCTCTAAGAAGTTGGACGCGGACCGCCGGGGGTCGCGTAACTACTGTAGTTAGCATGGAGGAGTCTCGTTCGTTATCGGAATTAACCAGACAAATCGCTCCACCAACTAAGAAAGGCCATGCATCACCACCCACAGAATCGAGAAAGAGCTATCGATCTGTCAATCCTTTCCGTGTCCGGGCCGGGTGAGGTTTCCCGTGTTGAGTCAAATTAAGCCGCAGGCTCCACTCCTGGTGGTGCCCTTCCGTCAATTCCTTTAAGTTTCAGCTTTGCAACCATACTCCCCCCGGAACCCAAAGACTTTGGTTTCCCGGAAGCTGCTCGGCGGGTCATGGGAATAACGCCGCCGGATCGCTAGTCGGCATCGTTTATGGTCGGAACTACGACGATATCTGATCGTCTTCGAACCTCCTACTTTCATTCTTGATAAATGAAAAAATTCTTGGCAAATGCATTCGCTTTGGTTCGTCTTGCGCCGGTCCAAGAATTTCACCACTAGCGGCACAATACGAATGCCCCCGGCCGTCCCTCTTAATCATGGCCCCAGTTCCGAAAACCAAGGAAATAGAACCGGAGTCCTATTCCATTATTCCTAGCTGAAGTATTCAGGCGACCGGCCTGCTTTGAACACTCTAATTTTTTCAAAGTAAACGCTTAAGGCCCCCGGGACACTCAGTCATGAGCATCGGGGAGGCGCCGAGAGGCAGGGGCTGGGACAGGCGGTAGCACACCTCGCAGCGGACCGCCAGCTCGATCCCAAGATCCAACTACAAGCTTTTTAACTGCAGCAACTTTATTATACGTGATTGGAGCTGGAGAATATTTTATTATAGAAGATAAATAGCAACGAAACATAGTCCAAAACAGGAAATACAGCACACCACTGGAACAAACACAAATACAGGAACATAGCCATAATCAAACATATGCATAAGACCTGGCGGTGTTGACACCCACACAATCCTAAGGGGGAAAGTGTGGATGGGGACACACACCATCCCTGCCTGCACCCACAGCCCTAAAGTGCCTAACCATATGGATCCATGAGAAGGGGATATAACCCTATGACAATGGACCCATCTTCAAAACATCTCAACAAATCTTACATAATCTAGTGGAATTCGGCCAAGGATACCTTACATGGTCCAAATAATGAAACCTCAACCTAGAGGGGAAAACAAAAGTAATAAATGTGCACATTAACATCATGTACATAAAGGCCTACCTATCCTCTATGAGGATGGCCCTTTAGCAAAAAAAGTATATCAGAAAAAAGTCCTTGGGAAAAAAAACATCCATAGAAAAACAAATCCATAGAAAAAAAAGTCTATAGAAATTCCATAGAAAGTCCTCATATGGGATAACTTCCCATAAATCAATCTCCATAGAGCAAAGTATTTTAAACATTACACTATCATATATTAACATCCCCTCCCTCCAACCCTCCTTCACCCGTACATACACAACCCCTCAACCCACCCCCTCCCCTGCCATACTACCCTACAAAAGACACACACTCAAATCTGGCAAATCATCAAATCTAGCAAACCATCAAATCTAGCGAACCATCAAACTGGCAAACTTATCTTATCTAACTTATCTAACTAACTTATCTAACTAACCCGGTCCAGGAAGAAGCTACTCATCTACCCATGTGGTAGCCTCTCCATGAAAATCACAAAAAGGTTCCAAAATCTAAAGGGGGTGTATCAAGTATAGTATTGTGAAATAACCCATGCTACCAAGGCAAGGGACTCCACGGGACCATTAAAGGCGGGTGGACCTTGAGGTTCTTCCATAGATTGTGCCAATTTGTCGACTCCATGGAGTCCCTTTCGGTGTTGTAGATACCGCAAACAGCTCTCCTGATGTCGTGCACCACCACCTGACAGGTAAGGTTTTTCCTCTGCAGGGAAACCTGACACCGTGCGTTCCACATGAAGTATCTCACAACTGCGCTAACTAAAAAAAGTGTGCTCAAATTAAACCTTCTCCCCTGGGAATTGGACGTCCCGTACACCCACTCCGCGTAAGTCATGCGGGACAGGCAGAGGATGCCCAAGGCGACTGAGACCTCTCTGTAGACATGTACGTTGAAGGAGAAAGTGGTCCATGGACTCCTCTTTCCCAGAACACTCCACCCGAGGACAACCGCGGTCCTGAATGTTCCTGTACTTCAGGTTCCCCCGAACGTAGAGTCTACCATGGAAGGAGAGAAACACCACGTCTCTGTACTTCTCCGGAAGACGTCGGGAATTGATGTTTCTATTCTACTCACGCTTCTACCTCGGTGATAGGTAAAACCACCTGTGGGGTTGGGGAAGTGTTGAATGTACACATCCACCAAGCCAGCCTGACTAACCATTCTATTCAGAAAGATGGAATCGTATCCATGCCTCTCAGTGGCACCTTTCCTGTCTTGTGGCCTAGTGATGGTGTCAAAATCACCGCCAATGAGAAGAGTCTTGGACGTATAAAGGTAGGGCTCTATCTGGCTAAGCAGGCACTTCCTCTCCCACTTACTATGGGGACCATAGAAGTTAATGATGCGGAGAGGCTGCCTGCCCAATGAGACATCAAGGACCACGCATCGTCCTTTCTGTAGCTCAATTACTCTTTGTATGATGACATCCACATTCTTAAAAAGAACTGCTATCCCCCCGTACCTCTCTGTGGCCAGAGAGAAATATGAGGGTCCCCATTTCCACTCTCTTTTTGCCAGATGCAGTGCTGCCAGGCTATCCAGTCAGGTCTCCTGTATCAAGATAACATCAAAGTGCGACCTTTGAAAATAGTCATACACTGCAAACCTGTCAACACGCTGTTCACATTCACTGTGGCCACAGAGAGGACCGGGGGTACACAGCCATGAGTAATTTAAGCTGGACGAGACTTTTCGCTTCTTCCTGGACCCTCCCTCCCTATCTGCTTCGGCATCGGATGGGTACCGCTTAACGGACACTCCCGCCGGTACCGAATCATCATCTCCTAGGGTAATCTCGTTGTTGATGTCCTCGATTACCTCTGTGACCTCTAGCATGTCTGCCATCTCCTGTCCAAGTGTCTCGTCACCCCAGCTGGAGGAAAGAACCTCAAACTTGTTTGAAGAGACCACCTGCTGGGCTTCGGGGACACCCGAACCGGAGACTGGCTTCCGGACATTTCTAGTAGAGGCACCCTTGGTAGACCAATCGGGGGCCGGTAGACCCGAGGATCCAGCCAGAGGAGTCCCTTTGGTTTTAGAGGCACCTCCACCCTTGCTCCCCACTACCTGCCATTCCGTCTCCCCACTCTTTGCGACCTTGACTTTGCCCTTGCCTTTAGAGGAAGCAGGAGCCTTAGCTGTGATATGGGACATTTGAGCAGCAGCAGCCGTCTTGGGGAGGAGGGGGAGGAGGAGCCAGCAGATCCCCGGCTGCCGGTCTGGGAGGACCAGATGTTCCCACCTCCTGCGTCCCCGGAGCAGCATTGTCCATGGACATGTCCGTCTCCCCTCTCCAGATCCCCTCATGTTATGTTGTGCCTTTGGGCACGCCCTATAAGAGTGACCCAAAGCTCCACAGAGGTGGCAACGCACCTCTCTGCAAGTCTCCCTTAAATGTCCGACAGCACCGCACATTGTGCACTTTTGAACGGTACAGGCGTTGCTAAAGTGCCTGTGCGATCCGCAACGATGGCATGTCCGGGGTTGCCCCTAGTAGAAGCAGGATACCCTATCTGAACCAATAAAAAATGAGTTTGGCATATGTTGGGTGACCCCCCCTTATCTCCCTGATGATCATGGGGACAGTCCACCCACCTGTCCAGATACCGTCCTCATCTAGGATTTTGTTTGGAGCGGCCTTAACCTCCCCAAAGCGCTTTGCCCAAACCAGAATATCAGCTATGGGTATTGTCTTGTTCCTAACTAAAAACGTGACCTATTTTAACCCCTGGCAGGAGATTGGAATGGCAGTAAAATGCTTCCACTTGGACCCTTCCTGTGCTTTGGCTCCCTCCCACCTTGCCCAGAAATGGTCCAGCAATTGCGATGTGAGAAAGGATACATCAGATTCTCTGATCCCAGTTGCATGGATCAAGGCATATATATCCGTTGCTATGAATCCAAAGTCTTTGAGGCCTGCTACCACCCACCGTCTATGCGGGACCCTGTTCCCTCCCCCGAACGCCAGCCTGACCACATTCCTGCGATTACCCGCCAGGGATGGGCCAAATGCGGCAGGCCGACCGGCATTCAAACGGGGAGGGGCAGTGCCCCAAGCTCCTGCGACCCTCCTCCCTGGTTCCTGAGTAGGGGGGTTCCATGTTGGGGGGTTCACAGTTGGGTGGTTCCCTGTTGGCAATACAGTGTCAGGGGTCTGACCTCTCAAGGGAGCATCAGTCTGGACAACAGTAGAGGAAACAATCTTAGAGGCACCAGCAGTTTGAACATCTATTACATTCATAACATGGCTGTGGGTGATACATACGCTGCTTTAATCTGAATGCCCTTCTGGAACCTTGTGTCCACCTCCAGCATCCGAGGGTATGGAGTCCTGCGGCCTGTCTGCCACCTCGTCCCCGCGTGCAGAGCACTGCTGACACACAGCTGACAATCCATGGCCGGAAACGGCCGCCCGGGAGTCACCAGGACCGGACGAAGTGATGTCCGGACCGGAAGTGACATCATCGGGACACCCAAAACCGGAGTGGCGTCAGATGCCGTGATTTCGTTAGCGGCACCATTTCCTCCATTACCCTGCAGGCGGCTCAGGATCCCATCCTGGCTTTGATGTCTCTTTTTCATGCCTTCCAGGAGCTCAATCAGTTGTTCCAGTGGCATCTCCTGCAGTGCCTTCTCCTCCAACCTTTTCCCCTTAAGGTGAAGGTGGGGTCCGGGGACTAGAGACCTCAGGCTGGGTGCCCGGGATCTGATCTTGCGAGTCCTCGTCTCCCAGCACTGGGGAAGGTAACACCAAACATCTCTGCTCCTCCTGCCGCAGCTCCCTACATTCCAGGAGGATCCCTGATAACAGTAGGATCTCCACCGAAGGGACCGCATGGGGCTTCCCAATTCCATTCTTCCATTTTCACAGAGTTTCCTGTAGTTTTTCCTCCAACTCCTGCAGTTGGGCAACCTGTCCTGCAATCTTCCGGGACCAAGCCTGAACCTCACCCCCAAGATCTTAATCTCCTCCTGGGCCGGCGGGAAGCCGTTTGGAAGAGAAAACTGGTCACCTTCCTTCCCACACCAGAAAACTACGCTCTTGTCCTGGTTAATACGGGAGCCTGAAGCGGCAGAGTACTCCAGAATCATGCCGACAATCTCCGTGGCCTCCTCCTCATCAGACACCTCCACCACGATAGAAATGTCATCAGTGTAAGCCACAATCTTCAGGGGCCTCTCCGGAGTCCTGGCCACTCCCTGTAACGAACTCGCCTCAACCCTTCGGATGAAGGGATCTATGGCGAAGACGTACAAGAGCGGGCTGAGAGGACAGCTCTGCCGGACCCCGGATCGAACCTGAAAAGACCTGCCCCTCCAGCCGTTTACACGGGCGAAGCTCTCGGCCCCTCTATACAAAGTGATAAGCCAATTGATAAATGTCCCCGGCAAGCCGTAATTCCGTAAGACCGACCACAGGTAGCGGTGATCAACCCGATCAAAAGCTTTGGACTGACCAATTGCCAGGAGGTACTTCCCCCACTCCTCAGCCCTGCACCTCTCAAGGGCCTCTCTAACCTCGAAAACTGCATCGAAGATAGATCTGCCCCCCACAGTACAGAACTGCGACAGGACATCCCTCGCCAGGCCCTGCATGCTCTTCAACAAAATCTTTGCCAAAACCTTCCTGTCAACATTAAGCAGGGATATGGGCCGCCAGTTCCCCATATCCGCTGTGTCGACCACATTAGGCTTGGTTAACAAGATCAGAGCAGAAGTCCTCATAGAGGGTGGTAATAATCCTTGAGCAAGGCTCTCATTATACACCTCAGCCAAATGAGGGGCCAGGAGAGTGCAGAACTGCTGGTAGAACTCGACCGTCAGTCCGTCAGGGCCAGGGGACTTGTTCCTGTTCTGCTGCATTATACTCTCCGTGACCTCTTCAATGGTAATCTTGCTAAGCAACTCATCAGGAGATAGATTCACATTATCAGAGGGTATGAGGTTCCCCAGAAAACCATCGGCCCGATCCTCCAGGGGTCTCCTCCTTCCGAGAAGCTCAATATAATAATCGCGGACGACCCTGTGGATCCCCTGAAGAGACTCCTCCAAGGGCTCCGTCGGTGATCCACAGACAGGTAATGGTCTTAGTACCCTCTTTCTTCTTGCAACTGAGATAGGGATCGGATGAGTGGTAAGACCCGTGATCCCTCTCCTTTACAAGAGAAGCAAACCTGTCATATTGATAACCTCTCATCAAAGACTTGACCGCTGAGATGTCCTCAGGGGCACCTCCCCGGGAGACCAAGCTGTCCAGCTTCCTAAGTAAGCCCAGATACATCTTATACCTTGTGGCCTGCTGGTTCCGGGCAAGATTGCGAAACAAGCCTCGCGCCCTAGACTTCACCATCTCCCACCACTCAGACTTCGCTTGGCAGAAATCAGCCAATGTCATCTGGTCGCGGAAGAAATCCTCAAAAGCCTGTTGAACCCTCTGTTCCACCAGGAGGTCCGAATTAAGCCGCCAGATCCCTCTCCCCTTATGTGGAATGTCCCGGATGTTCAATTGACAAGACAAAACGTGATGGTCGGAGAATTCTACCGGGCCCAGCACAGGTGCAGAGACCGGAAAACCCTCCTTAACATAAATCCTATCTATCCTACTCTCACTTCTACCTCGGTGATAAGTGAAACCACCCGTGGGATTGGGGAAGTGCTGAATGTACACATTCACCAAGCCTGCCTGTCTAGCCATCCTATTTAGAAATATGGAATCATATCCAAGCCTCTCAGTGGCACCTTTCCTGTCTTGCGGCCTAGTGATGGTGTTAAAATCACCACCAAAGAGAAGGGTCTTGGATGTATAGAGGTAGGGCACTATCTGGCTAAACAGGCACTTCCTCTCCCACTTACTATGGGGGCCATAGAAATTGATAATATAGAGAGGCTGCCTGCCCAGCGAGACATCAAGAACCACACATCATACTTTCTGTAGCTCAATCACTCGGCCAATGACAACATCAGCGTTCTAAAAGAGAATTGCTATCCCCCCGTACCTCTCTGTGGCTAGAGAAAAATATGACGGCCCCCTCTTCCACTCACGCTTAGCCAAGTGCAATGCTGCCAGGCTATCCAACTTGGTCTCCTGTAGCAACATAATATCAAATTGCGATCTACTAAGATAATCATACACAGGAAACCTGGCCGCACCTGACAGCATACTATTTACATTCACTGTAGCCACAGAGAGTACAGGGTACATAGCCATGAGTGATTAAGCTGGACGAGATTTTCCTTTCTTCCTAGACTCCACATCACCCTCATCATCAGAAGGGTACCGCTTAATTGATACCCCTGACGGTAAAGGGTCATCATCACCCAGGGACACCTCTTCATCAGCATCACCACCCTCATCCATCAGATCCGCCATCTCCCGATCCAACGCCACATCCGCCCAACTAGAGGACAGAACCTCATATCGGTTGGTGGGGGCCAGTCCCTGAACCTTCGGAGATCCAGGACCAGAAACCGTACCCTGGGTCCCCCTATGGGGGCGCCCAGAAATTTTAGCAGGAGCAGGCATACCCGATGGAGAAAGGGGGTGGACCGAAACTGGAGTCCTTTTACCCTTACCCTTAACTGTGCACCACTCAAAACAGTCATCTCCGAGGGCTGACACAGAAGGGATCACCCTAACAGCAGAAGGAGGGGAGGAGCCACCCAATTCTACAGGTACTAAACTAGGGGCAGGAGCACCCTCAGAAGGCACCACCACACAGGATGCCACCCCTAAACCCTCGACCTCCGCCGTAGCGGCAAGAGGAGGGGTAAGAGGAGGGGCAGCCAAAGTACCAGCCGGGGGAACTCCAACAGCACGAGGGGGCTAGTCAGTACAGGCACCTGTACCCCAACCGGTTCCACCAGATACCCTGTCTCCCCATTCCAAACCGACTCCAAATTAGCAAAGCCTCAGGGCATGCACGGTAAGAATGCCCTATCATCCCTCAGAGATGGCACCGAATCTCCCTGCACGTATCCCTAAGATGTCCCACCGCCCCACACATGGTACATTTTTGAACAGAACATGCATTACTAAAATGCCTGTGGGACCCACATCGGTGGCAAGTCCTGGGCTGACCAGGATAAAAACAGGACACTCTATCTGACCCTATGAAGAAGGAATTTGGCATGTGCTGAAGCCTACCCCGAACCTCCCTTAATACCATAGGAATGGTCCACCCCCCCCCATCCAAATCCTATCCTCATCGAGGATTTTATCAGGTGGGACTTTCACATCTCCGAACCGCTTTGCCTAGACCAAGACGTCCGCAACCAGGACAGTCTCATTACGCACTAGGAATGTTACCTTTTTAAGCCCCTGGCGTGAAACAGGAATGGCCACAAAGCTCCCCCACGTGGAGTCTCCCCGCCTATGGGCCTCCCCCCATCCCTCCCAAAAGCGGTCTAAGAGCTGGGAAGTAAGAAAGGAAACATCAAGCTCCCTATAAGGGCAAAAATGTCTGAGGCCAGAAACCCCATCTCTTTCAACCGGGCCACCACCCACCTGCGCTCTGGCACCCTGCATTCCCCTGCAGACACCAGCCTCACCACATTCTTCCTCCTCCTTGATAAGTTAGGAGCGAATGCAGCAGCCCGGCCGGCTCCCAAACGGGGGGGACCCACACCCCAAGCACCTACGCCCGGCGTCCGTGCCGGAACAGGAGGTGCAACCCCAGCTGGAACCACGCCCGCAGGAGGAGGGGCATTACCCCCAATGGAGGCCCAGGATGGGCAACTGACCCAAGGGCCCGGGGGCCCACCAACGCAATTGGATTTGCCCCAGGAGTGTCCCCCGGAACTGACACCAAAGGACCCAGCAAAGGGGAAACAGAGGGGCCAACACCATTCCCAACAATATTTGCACCACTTGAACCTTCATTACCACTATCCAAACATGCGGCCAAAAGGCTGTGGGTGACATGCAATACATCAGTGTCAACAGTATTCCTGATACCCTGAGCAACCACAGCCTCCCCGGGGGCCCCTATTGGGACATTCCCACCATTAACAGGCAAAATCTCACCATTTCCTGCAGCTTTCTGGACTCCTGCAGTTGTCTCAGAGTAACAGGAATCTCTTCCAGGCACATGTCCAAAAGGCGGCTTTTCTAGTGGCTTTTCCACTGAAGCATTACCAGCAGCAACGTCTGCAGCACCCAAACTGAAAGTGGAACCGGAAGCCACCGCCAGGGCTCCACGTGGCCCGGAAGTGACGTCACCGCAAGTGCCCTGCAAACCGGAAGTGACGTCACCCACAGCCCGTCCGACTCCCAACTCCACCTCTTTTGGGGGGGTGTTGGGAAAGGGGGGGAAGGGGCGTTGGGAAGGGACACTGGAGAACCTCCAAAGTACACAGGTGCATTCACCAAACGGGGATGCCTCCCCAGGCACACGGGAAGCATTGGTGGAAGGCAGACCAGGGCGAGGAGGGCAAGCCACCCTCTTTTTCTCGCCCTGAGGCTGTGAAAGGGGAAAATTCACCCCTGACTAGACAAACTCACCCTCCTCGCCAGATCCAACCGACCCCCTTTCTTGCACAGAGACCTCAGGCGCCCTCCTCGAGGAATCCTTTTTCTTCTTTTTCTTTCCTGCCTTAATACTTCCTTCGCACAGTTCTTCTCCAAACTTTAGTAGACTCTCCTTAATAACAGGGCTGCCATTTTTCTCAGGAACATTAAGACACCACACATCCTCCTTCTGGCCGACATCCTGGGTTTCCTGGCGCTGACCATCTTTCAAAGCTCTGGCATCCGAAGTTGAAGCTCCCTCCTCCACCTCCGACTCCAGGCTAGAGCCGACTTCCGCCTCTATCGCCCTCCTCTCTTCCAAAAACCTTTGTCACCGCTCTCTGACCGTCACCTTAGGCAGGCCCGCAGCTCTTCTTTGTAGAATGGATTGCACCTCTGTAATCTTCGATTCTACCTCATCAATATTGGAAAGCACATCCTGCTCTTCTTGCTTCTTCTGGATAATTTCCTCTCTGATAGGTGCTCTTTTCAAACTGGTAGTTTTATTTGACATTGCTCTCAACTTCTTCAGTCGATTCTGGAGCTGGCACAATATTTTATCATATTTGTCATGCTTTCCCTTTAAATCCTTAAGAGCCTCTAGGAGCTTCTCAGTGGGCGCCTCCTGGAAAGCCCGCAGCTTCACTCCTCTTCCTTTCACCACTCCAGTATAGGAATGGGACATCATTCCGGAACCTGCACCATCAGGTGGCGTACCGGGGATCATATCCGGCGAACCCTCTCTGGAGTCGTGCAGCAGCGGAGGGGACTGTTCCAGGCATAGGCGACCCACCTGCAGGAGTTCCCTGCACTTAAGGAGCACCCCAGAGAGCAGCAGAATCTCCTCTGTAGGCACTGCATGGGGCCGCCCCACACCTTTCTTCCACTCTCTGATCTTTCCGTCCATACCTCCTTCCAATTCCTCCAACAGGATCACCTGTTTGCGGATTCTCCCGGACAGGACCTGGTGCTCAGCCCAGGACAGGTCCTTCCTTAAGGGTCTGCCGTCCCCAAAATCCAGCACGGCAGAAAGGGCATCGAGCCGGGCCTTCCATCCCCAAGCCGGGGAGGGAGGCCGACCCTCCATAGTGGGCCTAAGTCAGGCCAAGGTGTGGGAAAGGCTCCCCCAGTGACTGAAGCCACAGAGAGACCAGGAATAGCTCTTTCTCCTCTGACAGCCGGACAGCAACTGAATTACCGCGGCTGCTGGCACCAGACTTGCTCTCCCATAGATCCTCGTTAAAGGATTTAAAGTGTACTCATTCCATTTACAGGGCCTCGAAAAAGTCCTGTTTTGTTATTTTTCGTCACTACCTCCCCGAGTCGGGAGTGGGAAATTTGCGCGCCTGCTGCCTTCCTTGGATGTGGTAGCCGTTTCTCAGGATCCCTCTCCGGAATCGAACCCGGATTTAATGAGCCATTCGCAGTTTCACTGTACCGAACATGTGTACTTACACGTGCATGGCTTAATCTTTGAGACAAGCATATGCTACTGGCAGGATCAACCAGTTAGCCATTCGGCCGCGCAAGGGGGTGGCGGCGGGGGCCCCCATGACTGATCAGGCCCACCTGCCTGCCACCATCCCTCGCTTTAGCACCGGGCTTGGCAAGGCCCGTCGTCCCCGTTACCCACCCCCCTGTTCTCTGTGTGGGCCGAGCCGGCCGGAGGACACTTGGCTTCTCCGAGCGGGCCGACTCTACCTGTCAAAAGCCGGATGTAGCACTGTGACAACATGGTCATCAGTTTATGGATTGCGTATTGGTGTTGGGTTATGTTTAATTATGTTATAATTAAACTTGAAGCTGACACCTTTTTTCTTCATAACACTAGGTGAGGCTCTGCCTCACTTGCCTCCTCTGACCGCACGTCCCTGGTATGTAGAGAGGAAGTCTCATCTTTTCTCCAGCTTTCCTGATCAAGAACATTTGTTTCAGGTCAGTGGCTCAGAAATTACTAACATAACTAGGTTATGTGCAATGTACTGGAGTGCATTCTCGCAAGATTACGAACGCCCAGCTTTCCCTAGAGGTAGCAGTGAGGTAAGATGTGGTCACTGGCACCCTCTGGAAGCACTAGAAGCTTTTTGGGGGCAAACAGGAAGGTGCACTTTAAAACATGAGTATGAACAAAATGATAGGACATGAGGGGGTACCTTCCAATAAAGACACCTGTTTTGGTCACCAATGTCTAAAAGGGATATCCCCTCTCTTTGCAGAGAATCATGTCCCTGATGTCCTGTCTTGGTCCTGGTATGTATATATGGAATTATTATTAGGCAGGTTTCAACTATCTATGAGTGGAGTAGCAGGCAGTTGGTAATTAGGATTACTCTGCTTAGGTATTTTTTACATTTGCAGCATACTTTTCTCTGATCTAACATGAGTGTATACTATGAACCCAAAAAACATTGTCATACCTTCACTGCTACTAATATAACAAACTCTCACATTACATAGTTGTTTTGGTGCTTTAACTCTCCCAACTCAAACAATACGCCTAAGGTTCCAAAGTGTTACACTTGCACGTGCAGCTGCCCATAATCTTAACTCTCATTTTAAAGACTAAAATGTAGTAATCTGTCCAGTCCATAATGCTTCTGTGCTCTAGTGCTACCTTGAACCAACACATGTATGGCTGGAACAGGAAGCAATAAAAGCTTTAAGGTCCCCACACACCTTGCGATAATCGTACGATAATCGTGGGAAATCCCGCGATCGTACGATTATCGTAAGGTGTGTGGAAACCGTGCGACCTCTACTACTGTGAGGTAGTTCGAAAACCCGCCGAGCATCGTACGATGTTCGGCGGGTGTGTAGCATGTTCGTAAAAGATAAAAGCCGGACGGGCCGGTGTGCGCAAGCGCACACTGCCCGTTCGGCATTGCGGTCATCGGAAGCCCGCCCCTCAGGGGGCGTGGCTTGCGGTCATCGCAAGTACGATCTGCCTGTCCAAGATAGGCAGATTGTACGTTTTTTTAAGTACCTTACAACCATCGCAAGACAAAATTCTTGCAATGGTTGTAAGGTGTGTGCCAGCATTACAAATGCTCTCTCTTCCTGGTATCAATCATGCGGCCCACCAGTGCCTGCTGTGCTCCAGACCTCATTTCATGTCTGAAGCAAAGCATGCTGCACACTGTGGCTAATTTACTAGAGGAGTAGCATGTGTTCATTTGGAAGTTAATTTTCACTTAGCTTAGTGAATAAGACAATACTGTGCCAACATTTCCTTGCACATGATTTGGTATACTTTGCAAAGTGTTTTTTTTTTTTTACCACATTCACTAAGATAAGTGAAAATTCACTTTACAAAGTGAACATACTCTACTACTTTGATGAATAAGACACACTGAGAGCTAGTTGCTCGAGCAAGATTTAGCCCTGGAACAGCTGGCTGTAAGTAACAGATGCACTGCAGCACTAAGCCCAGGTGCTGAACTAATTGGATCCTCAGCTTGAGTTCCTGCTACAGAACACTCCATAGGAGTGCTCAGCAGCAGAGCACTGCAAACTCCCGCAGAGAAAGGTATAATGTCACAGCACTTACTGTCAGATTCCAACCCTTCTCCCCCTTGTTTAAAACTTTAAAAAAATGTTTCGCCAACCTGAGGTGAAATTGCAGCCTGGATACCTAAAGTTTGACAGTAGTTCAGCATGAATCTTATGACTCCCTCAGTCAGCATACAGCAGATTCAGTTAAAACAGACTTTTTATACGCTGATGTTTATTACTCATTTGCTGATACTGCAATATATGGTCTGCAATTAGTTCCTGAAGATAAACTCTGGATTTTTAATGTAGTATAATTTTCAAGTGGAGAACTGAAATTTGGGATTAAACATTTTTTCAATGCTTTCTTCTTTTGAGAGAATACTGGCCAAGTTAATGTCAAAAAAGTGCAGGGAGAAGAGAGCATTGCACAGCTTCCAAGCTTGTGTAACATTTTTTTTTTAAATACCAGTGAAAAGAGGATTTTTTTCATGCAACTTGTGACATGGAAAAAACGCCATTCCTTCAAATTCCATGCTTGGGAGAAGCCTTTGTCAAATGTTGAGGGAAACATGGCCATGCTATTGCAGTCGGGAATGTGTTTATACTTCTTCAGTCAACTGTCGGCTTTCTGCTAAAAGTCATTCAGGTGTCTGCAAAGCCTTCGGATCACTTCCGCACACATTGGACAGTACCACCCACCCCATCTGACTGCCATGTATCCTGGGTTCTGCTGCCCCTCCTGCGAGCCTGGACAGGCATGGCAGATGTCAGTAGGTAGGGCAAAGAGATTAGCGAACATTCCCTGGTGAATAAACCTGGAAGCAACAAGCATTTTGTTTCTTCCCAGTTCAGCCAATCAAGTATATGTGCTTGATTAGCTTCAATGGAGTGCAGGTCAAATTAAAGAGAACCTGTCACTACTATTGTGCTCTCATGTATAGGGCTTGCCAGTTAAAGTTTAAAAACAAAATCAGTCAAATCAGCCCCCCCCACTCACACATACAAGAACAAACGAAAGAAGCATATAGTGATTGTTCATCTCAAACTTTTAACTGCTATTTTTGCTGGACAGCATTGTCTGTGAAAGGAAGTTGAGATATAACAGACGTACTGGCCGGATCAACAAATAATACAATTATGTCACAGGAGGAACTAGGAAGACTTTGGTATGCCAGATTCCCACATTAGTTCACCAGGTCTGCAAACCTCAAAGATGCAGGATTTGTCGCAAACACATAATAACAGTGAACCTGAACCTCATCCTACTCAATAGTGATTGTTATTTCCTTTTAGTGTGGTGTGTCTAATGGTTAGCTTAGTGACTCTGGGAGTTCAAGTATGTTTAACATGTGTTTTTGTTAATTTTTGGAAGTGATTCTGGAGCTTACCACAATAAATTGATGTAAATACAGACAAAACTCTCATGGCATGCTCCTTGTAATTCACATATAAAACCAGGAGTTGAAGTCCTCCGGACAGGATCTTCTTGAATCTTTAAACTGTTTCTTAGATAATTTAGGTAGATATTTAGGTAGCTTCTGTAATCAAGTTGGTCAGATCTGGTGATATCTCCATGCAATTATTATTATTATTATTATGTGATGATAACTAGAAACTTAGTTTGTGGCACACAATGATAGTTTCACACCTCTGTGGCCCACCATATTTTCCGTCACACCCAGATGAAAGTAATAAGATTATTTTCTTATACTTTTTGACTCCTAGTTGTATGAGGGCAAGTTTTTTTTTTAATTTCGGTGTCATATATTTATGTTTCTTTTAGATATTTCTTCTTTGTAGTTGCACTGATGGCTGTACCATTCTTTATGTGTGCATATTGGAATTATATTTTTCTAATTTTGTCATGTAGTCTAATTTGAAAAGTTTCTCATACACATTTAATTATATTTGGTGGACTGATTAGAAATTAATGATTTATTCTGAATTATGGAATTATGCACAGTTTATATAATTGATGTTATATATACAGTTTCAGCTTTATGTTTATGGAATATAAAATGCTGAATGTAAACATAAATGTGTTTAGTTTTTTTGCTTTAGAATTCAGCTGTTGGACCCAAGCATGAGATCTATTGATCACTTTGGGGATGACTACCACTGAATATTTCTAATAATTGTTATTTTTGCCTGGGGATTAAATGTTTTCATTACGGGGCGGGTTGTCTTTGTACATAATTTGTTTAATTATTTTTTTCATTTTTTTTATATAATGTTTTTTTTTTGTATGTAGGGAGGTTTGGTTTCTACTAATTTATTGATTTTGCTTTTAATAATCAGTGCACCTCTTTTCACAGAAGTTGCCAAATAGTTTAATGTCAAATGATGGGCACTCCCAGCAATATCCTGCATTAAGAGTTTTGCCATGGAATATTGTGGCTAAGGGGTGAGCACAGTTGCCCTTAATCCTGGTTTCAGTTACACGTAGGGGGAAAATATCTTCATGCAGTTCATTACCCCTTATTGTTACCCAACTAAAGAGGCACTAGATCACAATAGGGACCTTAGACTATTGTGAAGGCAGATTGATACGAGAGGTTTGTTTACTCTATAAAGCAGTGTGCATGATGTTGGCACTATGTATATATAAGAAATAGTTAAACTTTGTTGGGATATTTGAAAAGAATAAAAATGCTAATTGTTGATCTGATCGCTCTCCTCAGCCGTAGAGGACAGCATTGTCACCTCCTGTATTTCTCTCAGCACAGGTTTCTGTTAACACTCACTCTCACCAAGTGCAGAGAACAAAAGCAGATAGATATCTATTTTAAAAAAATACACAACAATTATTTTGTTGCATATAGCTAACCTGGAGGAGATTGCATATTTCGCTCAACATCAATGGAGTGTCATAATAGTCCTAGTGTTAAAAAAAAATACATAGCGGTTATTCACTAAGCTGCCAAATGCAGCCAAGTGAATAACTGTCCCAAAGTGAAGAGAGCTGAACTTCGGCCCTGTACGCCTGATTTCAACCATACATCGGCAAAAATCAGCTGTACATCTGCTAGCTTCGGTTTAGCCGAACATGCTCA